GCCCTTTACAGCCACGCCTGTGAAGTTTCTCTTCCCTCACACACCCCAGCCACCTCCCTGATTCATACCAGTGAAAGCTATGAGCTTCTGAACTCGTGGCCCTTTCTTCGTTCTGTCGAGAGCACTGGGTCACCTCAGAGCTCCTCGCCTGCAGAATGTTCTTCCTCTTTATTTTGCATCCATGTACCATATAGACAGTGGGAGACCTGGACCCTCTGTGGGGCTTTTGGCATCTATGTTCTGTGAATTCTGGAAAGCTCAGCTCAGCCTAAAATCTCTCTTTTTTTTTTTTTTTTTAAACACTTTCAAGGTTTTGTAATCATCTTTTTACCTGTATTCAGTCCTGCTTATGTCAAAATGGGCTAAGCAGGTTCTTCAACTCATTCTAGATTAGTTTTTTTTTTTTTTTTTTGAACTGGGGATTGAACTCAGGTCCTTGCACTTGCCAGGGAAGCAGTTATTCCACTGAGCTATCTCCCTAGCCCTAGATTAGTATTTTTAATAGCTACTACCATTCTGGTGATTATTGCTCGAAGTTTACTTTTGTATTTTATGTACAGAGTAAACAGCAAAACTCTTCAAGGATAAACAACAACAACAACAACAAAATGATACCAGCCCATAATAGATCAGAGGATCCACTGAAAAGGACAGTCCCCTGCATGCTCCTTGGTGTCAGGTTTCCACACTAACAGGGCACAACACTCTCTTCCTCTTGTGTCAATAAATCTGCATCGCATTTGTAATAGATTTCTAACAGGTGGTCAACTTTCTATATCCAGCTGAACAAAGCTGGTGTGGTGCTGTGCAGAAGGCCCGCCTGACGGCTGTTGCCAGCAGCACAAAGGCAGGGCAGGACAAGCTGCTGGAACGCTGTGAGGGATGCTGTCTGGAGCAGCTGTTGGAGCTGTGGGAAGCTGCTAGGTCTCTTGGGCTGTGCTGCTGGGGGACCTGGTCATGCTGGCTTTCCTGATGAACTCTGGAGAAGCTCGGGTCCTCATCCTGAGCATCAGTTCCCGGCTCCAGAGGGGAAGATGGTGCACTGCTCGGCCTCATGAAGCTTGTCGCATTGGCTTTCCTGATGGGAACTCGGCTTTCCACATCGCTGGGGGAGCTCAGGACCTCACTGTTGCTGAGGATAGCTGTGGTCCATTTGGGGGAGCTCTGGTGCTTACCTTGAGCATCGCTTCCTGGCTTCGGTTCAGATCCCTCAGCCTGCTAGCACAGATCCTTCATCCTGCTGGCATAGACTTCCTAGCTTCCACCACTGACCTTTGGGCCTTTCTAGCACATATGCATGAAGCAGGCCTGCAGGAGACTTTGCTGTGGGCTCTAAGCCTTTAGTTGGACTGGTGGGAGGCATTGCTATGAGCTCTACGCCCTCAGCTGGATTTGTTAGTATTTAGTGTGTGGACAGATTTCCTGCCCCTGTAGTATGTTATTCTTGGGTGATTCATTATAGAATACTATTACAAAATGTGTCCTGTACTACATTGTTCCCTTGCAAAAACCTCAGACTACGACCATGTTTTAATGCTGTCCCAGACTATTCTATGTGCTTTTACCTCAAAGTGGAAAGAAAAGCTAAAAACGAGGAGCCCTCGTTTTCCCAGAAGCATCAACTTGATAGGGATGAGGAAGAAGCCTGGACAGCCTGCCCTGGAAACCAGACAGGTTGCACAGAGCAGAAGCGTGGGTATGCACTTGTGAAAGAACACCTAGTTCACACAGACTGTAGTTTAAATTCTTATGTTGAAACAAGAAGGGACACGCCTGGGAATCCATTTGCTTTCTGATCTCGACTGTACTCTTGAGAGCTTGGTTGGAGGGCCTAGCAGGGAGCGCAGCTACTGCTACAACTTTGACCAAGGAATGGTCCCCTTCTATGGGGGGTGTTCTTCTTTGACTGAGCATGCAGATCCAGGGGGACACACACAGAGCACTGAGGGAGGAAGGGACACCCACTTAGTCAGCTGGGTCAGCAGAATTAGCTCTGGCGATCAATGGGGTGACAGATGTCACCTCCAGATCACCCTCACATCCTACCTAGGCTGTGTTCTTTAAAGAACAGTTAGATAAATATTTCACATTGCGAAGGGACGGATTGTAAGCCACTGGCTTTTGCTCACCTCTCACCCCCTCGGAGTCTATCACAAATGCTGCATTCGCCCCTGCTTGGGAGAGATGGAAGACCTTTCCAGTTCCTGTTGCTGGTTGAAGATTGTGGGGTGGGGGTAACGCGAGATCCATCCATGACAGAAGATGGGGCGCCTCTGGAGACATCTGTACCGCTTGTCTGTATGGGCAGAGAGGGTCTGGCTGCTCTCGTCTGTCACCTATCGTGGGAGGCATGGGGGGTAACTGTGCTTCGCTGCAGAATCACACTCCACTTCCAACCCTAGCAATATGCTGCTCCTATTTTATTTCATACAATGTGGTAACGAAGACAACCTCCAGCAAGTTCTTTGAATGTTATTTGGTTTCTCTTAACGTGTGCACTTGGGAATCTCACTAGAAAATGTCATCACCTTGCTTAGCTTACTTAGCTTAAAAATAATGTTAACACTTCATAATACTCCTTGTTTTCTTAAGAAGAAACAAGTCTAACAAGGCAGGCGCCAGGAGATTCAGCCTCATGGGGAGATTTTTGCCAAGATCTTTCAAAGCATCTTCTCTCCCTCTGTTCCTTTCATTTCACTACTTAAAAAATAAATCTTTTTCTTTTGTTTTTGAAAGTAAATCTTTCTAATGGATTCTTTAGAGCTTCTTGCCATTAGTTATGTGCAAGGCGGTCTCCCGGAAGGCAGGCAATCTGTCGCGACTACTGGCTTCTTAGCTTACGGGTGCATGTGTATTATAAAAGCCTTTGCAAGACTGTATTCTGCTCCCAGGTTTAGGAAACTTAGAAAAATATTGTTTTAATCCTTCTAGGACCATATAATCTATTTTTTTCCTCTTTTATCAAAACCCTCAGTAATCAGGGCAAATAAGCTCTATTTAAAAGCCATCTTTTATGGGGTTGGGGAGATGGCTCAGTGGAATAAGTGCTTGCCTGGCAAGTGCAAGGGCCTGAGTTCAATCCATGGTTCCACCAAAAAAAAAAAAAAAAAAAAAAAGGCCATCTTTTGTAGGTATAAATACATTTCATTCTGAATAAATTTAATTAGATTAAATACATCGGTTTAGGGAATCATGAAGTAGTCCACTGGCTTTTCCTAAACATCTTTGCAACAATACTTTCATATTGTTGCTTATTTACCTGTAACGGAGGAGTTGCTTATGAATTGCGGGGCTGTTACATTTTATATTAGGTGAGATACAAAGGATCCATCAGTTAGAGTAAATCAGTGATGCTGAACCTTTTAAAGACGATTGTGCAAACTGCAACTTAAAACCCACTTATTTACCACAAAGTGTCAAGCCTGCAATCAAACTTGAATACTGGAGTTTAGAATTTTCAGTTTAGAAAGAACAACTCATATGCTAACATCTTTGGTCGTGGGAAACAACATGCCTGCATAGGCTTGCCACCACTGGACTAGATACATCAGGTCTCACATTTTTATCAAAGAATGGAAAAAAATCAATGGGTATGGGTATTTTAGGACCATGATTTATAAAGAGCTAAGGATGTTGGACAGGTGCTTCTTACATTCTTGCAATTCAGAAAAGAAATGACTTATAATTATATCTTAGAAAAATGTTTCAATACTGAACCACTTCACACATAACTTATTAGATTTGTGATAATAATATAAATTGGTTTACACAGATAAATTAGTCAATTGAATTTTACTCCCTAAATTTAAAAAGACAATAACATGAGGCCTTGCTATGGAACTGATTGAGGAATGTAAAGTGTTAGAAATGATTCGTAGGTTTGTGGCTTTCTTGGGTGGCTCCGGGTGCCCTTCCCAAAGACAGTGCAAACTGGAAGAGCCGGTGGGGAAAAAGTATGTGAATTTACACTGTAGAATCATGTAGCCAGTAATGGATGTGTTCCGAGCCTTTTCCGTGGTATTAGGTGTGGACAGAAGCAGAAAGCTTTAAGTGGGAAGGAGAGAGAAGAGCAGAAATTATCTAGGAGATCCCAGAGCTTGCTGTCTCCCTGAGAAACGGGGAAGCTGCCTCTCACGTCCCTCCGTGTGAGGAGGAGCCTCAGGTCCCACCTGCCTGCTCTGCCAGGCCCTTCAGGCCGTGTGGCCATTCCTGGGGGCCTTGAGCTCAGACAGAGGAGCCAGAGCTCTCCCGTTCCCCAGGCTCCTCCAGCTTCTTCTCCATCAGCCACGCCATGCACGCACAGAGGCTGCGTCTGCAGATGCGGCCTGGGGGAACCAGCAATTCTCCTAGCGCAGGGCATTTGGAGTCCGACCAGCTTTTCCACAAGAATTCTATCATCTGTTAAAAAGAGGGGCAGGAACACTTTCTTGTCTGTCTTGAGGCCTCAGGGGGGAGTCCTGAGCTCACTCTTCCCTTTCCCTCCTGGTTTGGCTCTCATGTGCTTAGAGAACAAGGACAGCTTTAGCTTCCCTGCCTGTGTGTGGACAAAGGGCCCCAGACACTCAGGGAGGCCCTCGGGCAGCCAGTCCTTCAGCAGGGGCCTCTTTCCCTCTCTGGCAAGTAGAAGCGAGACTGAGACGCCCTGTTCGGGCTGCCTGTGTGCAGAGGCTGGCATGTCGGCGGCGGGCAGGGGTCCTCGTCGGACACCAGCTCTGCCATGAACGGAACTCCCTGTCAGGGCGCCATTGTGCCTGTCCCTTTTGTCCACAGTTGGGGCGGCCTCTGCCAAGTTTTTTCACAGGAGCTGAAAGACCCTCTCTCATTCTCCTGGCCCGCCCCCGGCCCCTCGGAGCCTTCTCAGGCACCAAGGCAGTGTGGCCTGTGGCACCCACCCACTCTGCTAACCGGTGGCCTGAGCCAATCACTGAGCAACAGGCGCTCTCCTTCTACCCCTCCCCCGGCGACAGCCTACTGAAGAGGACTCCAGGGCGCTCTGCAGTGCGAGCCTTGGCTTCCGGCCAGCGTCTTTTCCAAATAAGAAGGCAGGGGCTGCCGCAGGGTGCACAGGGGTCCGGGGCGCCGCAGAGGCAGACTTGGGCTTCCTGGTCTCCTCTGCTCTCCAGGCTAGACGGGAGAAAGGCCAAGATGGTGGAGGCTTTCTGTGCTGTCTGGAAGCTGACCGACAGTCAGAACTTCGACGAGTACATGAAGGCCCTAGGTGTGTACGAACGACAGGCCGCGCGCTGTCCTCAGTTTCCTACCTTCCAGGCCCGTTTCCAGACGTCAGGTCAGCAGGCGTCCGGTCAGCAGGCGTCCACTGTCCTAGCCCGGAACCAGGCAGGAGAGTCTGGTGGCAGTCGCCTGCTTCCCTGCCTGGGGCCACGTGGACTAAAGCTTGGGGTTCTGCGGGCACACGGAGCTGCTGGGGCTTTGGCAGCTTCTCCGCAGCTGTCACATTCGAGCCCTAGGGGCAGCAGGACTCCGGGAATGGCCGTTAATCAGTAACCGTCTGCCCGGACTCAGACTCAGAGCCCGGCCTCCGGGCCCGGGACGCGGACCCCCGTGCTGTGCGTGGGCTGCTCTGGAAGGGACTGCTGTTCCTTTGCTGTTCCAGGTGTGGGCTTCGCCACGAGGCAGGTGGGCAACGTGACCAAGCCCACGGTGATCATCAGTCAGGAGGCGGGCAGGGTGGTGATCAGGACCCAGTGCACGTTCAAGAACACGGAGATCAGCTTCCAGCTGGGGGAGGAGTTCGAGATCAGCGCGGACGACAGAAAGTGCAAGGTAGGGAGCGCCTCCTGCAGAGCGAGGACCGGAAGGAGGGAAGACAAGAGGCAGGCCCAGTGCCTCTTCAGAGTTGGTGACAGACAATGTTGTCAACGTTCCCTATTTAGTAAGAAGGAAGAAAGACCCCAAGTCACCGCTCGGTGCTGCCACCTTGTGTTCTGAACAGCGGTCACGCGTGGCTGCAGGCCAAACGCAAGCCCATTCGTCCTTGCTCGCTTTCCATATTTTACGTGCATATTTCACAAGCGTGCATTCCAGGAGGCCTTCAGCAGTGTTCGGCTGATAGAAAGGCTGCACCTTGTTCACTCTCCCGAGTCCGTCAGACTCACTTCTCCTCCTTCTAAGACTTTGCTTAACCATAAAGCTGACTAACTGGAAAGCCCTAGCAGAGGGCTTTAGAGTCTAGCAGGGGCATGTTTGGGTCCAGATGCACATATTTGAATCAGCTTAGGAATCAGTGGAGGTTACATAATGATCAGGGATGCAGCAGAAGATGGAGGCACAGGCTCTAGTCGGCAGTGTATCCAACCACGCAATTTTGGCGAATGACGCAGTCACTTGACTTGTCCCTATTGTAACCCTATGCTGGTTTCAGTCTGTTGTTAGCCTGGATGGAGACAAACTCGTGCACATACAGAAATGGGACGGCAAGGAAACCAAGTTTGTGAGAGAAATTAAGGATGGCAAAATGGTCATGGTAAGTGACAAGCGACAAGCCTTCCTCTGCTCTCCACGCTCCCATCCCCCTCTTTCCTCCTTCCTTCCTTTTCTCTCTCTCCCTTCCCTCCCTACTTCCTTTTTCTTTCAGAATAATATTTTGTCCCCAGCAAGGTTCTTTAACAGTATATACACAGAAAAAATCCAAAGAGCCTCGCTAATTGTTTTCTTACAGGTGCTTTGATCATTGAAAATAAGTCTACTTGGCAGTTTTTTTAAAGAAAAAAATACATAATTACTGGTTCACCAAGAACTGTGTGTTAAAAGTTTCCGTGGCATTAATATATTATATAATAATATCAATCATATAATCATCATAATAATATTATAATAACATCAAACTTACTAAACCTTAAGAAAGTTACTTCATGGATCCTATAATAAAAAAGAAACCTTTAAACATTTTATATTTTAGTTTATTAAGGTTCTATAAGTTAACTAAAAAGAATAACAAATTTTTTTTAAAAAAAATCTTTCATTTCCTTCCAGTTCCTTTTCAAAATTGACCATTCACTTTTATCACATATATGTTTAAAACTAAGGCATGTGGACAATATAAAGAAGAAAATACTTTACAAACAACTTCTTACATGACAGAGTAGTGTCCCAGCTGGGAAGACTGTGCTCGACCTTCTCTGTGAGCCCCTGGTAGTTTGATGATACTGACACAGTCAAGTTGGTTTATTGGGGGAGGTGCCGCTTCACATACTGTTGCTAGGAAAGGCTTTGGTTGCTGTCGGTACCTGAGGAAACGGATTACTTTCTTTGAACAGTCCTAGCCTGCGGTACCCACACTGCTTTCCACGCGTGAAAGCATGGGTGACAAGTGATAGTTTTCCTCTTGCCTAAAGGAACGTCGGCCTGCATTTCTCTGGGAGGTCAGCAAAAGGAAGGGTGCGCTTTTAAAAGACTGAATCTGAAGCTGAGACATACAGAACTCAGCGGTGGCCTGCGAGCCTGCGAGATGAGTAAGCCATGGACGAGGAAGTGCTCCGCACCCACGGAAACCACACCAGTACTCGAAACTCAGGCGCGCCCTGCCCCTAAATTCTGTTAGGTGATTCTGTGGTCCTTCTTCTGGTTGGACTTAACATCAGAGTAATGTGGCCAAACTCCCCGCCCCGCCCATCGTACCTCCAATTTGGGCTGAAGCACGCAGGGCACTTAGCAAGAGCTTGGGATGATCAGCTTCCTGCTGATTTTTGACCAAGTCATTTCAAACACCATTAGCTCACATGACAGAGTGTCCTCAAGAAGTGTGTCTAGACTATGTACAGAAAATGGGTATGAAACCCTGTTACAAATCACCTTCACTTTCAAAGCAGGGAGCTGAGAAAAGCGAGGGGGCCCATTCCTCACACGGGCTCCCCTCCGTGGCTCTGGCAGCTTCAAGCCAAAGGGATTCTTCAGACTGAGCTCTGTGTCTTCAGGCTTGTGTCCAGACACGAGCAGGGCACACGCGCCGCCCACCCAGCACACAGATCTTCAGCTTACCTGCAGAGATGAGCTGGCACAGCATTTAATTACTGTAAATGTCAGGAATCTTTTGGGCAAGAGCTAAATCATGTACACCCATGGAGGAGAATTTTTCAAAGCTCAGCTACAAACACTCCCAGGTAAAATGTTTCAATTATCTTTTGATTCTTTCAGACTCTTACCTTTGGGGACGTGGTCTGTGTTCGCCACTATGAGAAGGTGTAGAGCAGCTCCAGCTTGGCTGGGGAAGCGCTCGGATTATTCTGCCTGCTCAGCAGCAGCAGCGCTGCCCTCTGACACGAAGGTTACGCTTGTGGTAGAGGCAGAGGACGTCGACTGGGAAATGTTACTCCAAACAACTAGCTCAATTTTGACATGCACGTTTATCATGTGTTGTGATTTCTATTACAACTTTGTCACAACTTTTTAATAAAAAAGTGAGTACATTTTATAATTTTCTTTGGAATACAAATAAAAATCACTGGAATAAAAATCATACACCTAGTAAAATGTTACTTTCAGTGTCACTTCTCTAGGCATTGTATAGGAGAATCCTACATTAAAGAGCCAAGCAGAGAGCAGCAAGGCAGACGGAGAAAGTTAGTACCTACTAAAAGATCGAATTTAAAAAGCGAACCTCAGGGAATGTGAAGACGGTACATTTTTGTTTGTGATATTTAAATTTGTCCATTCTACGGAAGCCTTGTCATGGTGGGTTGAGCTACAGAAATGATTTCTTGCTGCTAGAAACAGATATCTGAAGAAATACAATGATATGCATGCAAATGTCCCGCCGAAAGGTGAATATAATTGATAGGGCATATAGCTGCTGTCATTTGTCAAAGATTCCTTTTAGAAGGTGACCAGCAAACAGATTTCACCCGGGTTTGTTAAAGTGACTCTCCAGGCGACGCTCCTGAACCGGACGAAGGGAAGCACTAGCACACGTGTAAAGACTGTGCACAAAGCCACTCCCATTCTTCTTGGCAGAAGTAGGATGAAGTGAGTACTTGGGGTTCAGTACCCCAAAACAAGGAGATGTTTGTTACTGGTTCTGGGCTCTAATTTATAAAGTACAGGTAAATGGTTTTTCATATTTTGTTATTTACAAAAAGCTTTACACACATTTTTCAATCCCACAATGTAAAGCAAGTAAGACAAGTATTATTTCTGTTTTGCCGATGAGGTAACTGCAGATGATTTGCACTTCCAAGATCTCATGAGCAGTAAATAATCCTGCGAAACTCAACTTTTGTCCTGAGACACGGGTGCACGGTTTTATTTTCCCTGGTTATTCCTTAGGAAACAGTTCCTTTGTGAGCCTCTGGGGCCACGGGGAAGGGCCATATTGCAATATGGCAAATCTTGCAATATTCATTTTCAGTTAACCTAGTGATTTCAGTTAACTTCTTAAGTCAAGGTACAAATTACTTAGAGACAGAAAATGGAGAAGTTCCCTTAACCTGCATAATTCACTTTGATGACGTGCTTTCTGATTGCTGGAGGACAAGTGAATACCCTTCATACAAAATGCCTGAAAACAGAAATATTTTGGAGTTTTCAGTTGGATTTCATATACGTAACGAAGTACTCAAGGGCTTGGACCTAAGACTAACTATGAAATGATTTATATTTCACATACAGTTTTTAGGAGGACCAGGACGGGGATGGAGCTGAGGGCCTTTGCACGCAACTGTATCCCCAGTCCTTTTGTGTAGTTTGAGACTGAGTCTCAGTAAGTCACCAGGTTTTCCAGGCTGGTCTCAAATTTGGGCTCCTCCTGCTCCAGGCTCCCAGAGTCCTGGGGCACTGGTGGGCCACTATGCCTGGGCACACTTACATCTTTTCTGTACAGGCTGAAGGCAATTTGGCACAGTATTTTTAGAAGGCCTGTGTTGCACTGGGCTCTTTCTCACAGGTCAGGTGTGGCACTGTCCCCCTGCAGTGTCCCCTCAGTGCTCAGAAAGTCTTCACTTCTCAATTCTGGATGCTGAATTGGGGATGCCCACCATGTACTTCACTACACTGTGGGGGGCAACCACCCCAGGTGCATCTGTAGGCTCACCATTTGGGCCTGCACTTGTCACCACCGAGGTCAGATGGTCCAGCCGAAGCCAGTGGTCTCGGCAAGTCTGCAGCTGCCTATAAAAGTGTGAAACCCATAGCAAACGCATGGCCGCCTGCCTGCGACCCCCAAGAGTGGCCCACCATGATGTTTTAGCCAGGTCTAGGACCAGGGCGCCAGGCCTGTCACTAATAGGAGTGCAGGCTTGGGAACTCTCAGCTCTACAAAGAGGCGACTCACTCCCTGTTGGTAATAATTTCCAAAAGAACAAAGAACAGCAGCTTTTGGGGTGACCTAAAGGGAGCCACCTTGGGCTGAAAGATCAAGGGTACAGGGACAGTCGGCACACAGAACTCTAGAGAGACCCAGTATTTCTGCTTCCTAAGTGTTTACAGGACAGTTGCCAATCATTGCAAATTCTGCGTCTCAGGAGCCCTTTTCTACACTAACACCTCTTGCTCCTGTAGCACCACCCCCCGCCCCCCAACACAGTTACGGGAGGGGAAACCTAGCCAAGACTAAGAGCAGTTTGCACAGGCCCTGCAAGGGCATTTCCGAAATTCTGGGCCCTAAAGACACAAACCAGGCTGAAAGCTACGTTGCAAAGTGCAGTCACTGGCCACTGACAGGAGCTTCACCTCACCTTGCGTGTATTCTTTGTCCCAGAGATGCTCCGGAGAGGTGGAGACCCCCAAATACAGCGAGGGTGGAGCTGTACCCCACAGATGTTGGGGACACAGGCTCTGTGCTGCTAAGAGGGTGGGGTAGAGGAGAGCTAGACAGCAAAAGAAGGGGAGGGCAGGCTGGTGTACCCAGCCACTCATTTGCATAGTTTACCTTTTTAGGGCTGCGCACATTTTATAAGGTTCAAAATGCGAGCACCACCTCTGTTGGCCTTGACTTAAGGCAACAACTTTGCTCTACAGTAGTTTGCTAGAAGTCAAACACAAGTAACCTCAATGACTAGGACCATAGATTCAAGTTATCCTAAACACTAAGTTCTAGTGCAAAAGGTACCAGAGCTGAACGGCCAAGCAGCCCAGAAATCAATGCACTTGCATTGCTTGGGCCTGAGAGCCTGCACAGTGAGCGACAAGGACTGAGGGAATCTCGTAGCCTGCAGGTGGGTGGAGGACGCTGAAGCTCTTATGGATTCAGTGACAGGTCAGTTCTGCACAGAGAAGGGCAGCCTAAAGCGGGCTGTGGGTGACTGCTCCCTTTTCTGCTCCACTGTCACAAGGTTCTACTTGGCCAAGGGCACGCGGTCTGCGGGACTCTTGCTCTACCCTTTAATGTACTTTCTCCGGAGATGTCATCCGTTCCCAATGCTCACTTCAGGGAGGCAGAGAAAGGGGCCCCATCAGTCTCTAACCCCTGCCGTGTTGCGGACCTCCGCTGGTGATGGTCCCACGCGCCACACCGGGAGGGGCGTTACTGGGGAAGGCGGTTTCCTCCCCAGAGAAACCCCATGCTGTCCGAGTCTAAGCCATGAGCACGACCTCGCAGAGCCAGAGTCCTGGTCTGCACGCGGAAAGGACGCGGAGGGCACGCTTGCTGGGTGACCCCGCCCCAGGGTTTGCACGCAAACCTCGTCGCCGGCTTACCTGTGCCAGCGAACCTCCCAGCCCACCCCGCCCCGCCTGCCTTGCAGCCTTCGGGGGCGCGGCCCTGGGCTCTCGGCTTCCAGCCGCGGTTCCGGGTGCAGACGCGGCCCGCCCAGCCCAGCCCCGGCGCGAGCCGATTTAGGCCGGCTGCACCCACACGTGACCGCGCGTCCTCTTGCCTTGGCGTCGGCGGCTCCATGGCGCGGGGCGGCGCGCTGCTCGGCTGCCTCCTGCTGGGGCTCAGCCTGGCGCTGGCGCGCGGGGCACCGACAGGTGAGCAGTGACCCCGGGGGCGCGGGGATCCGTGGAATCTGGGGGGCACCGGCAGGCGTCCGAGTGCGAACTCCGCTGCGGCCAACGACGGGGCGCGGGGCGGCCGTGGCGCCCGGGTGAGGGAGGCGCCGACCCGACTCGGCCGAAGCGCCGGACACATTCTGTGTCCAGCAGGGCGGCCTGACGGGCGGGAGCGGGGAGGACGAGACGACGCCGAGGTCCCAAAGCCCTGCTACCACCGGCGCCCTCTCCCGGCCCGCGGATGGAACCGGAACTGGACCTGAGACCCGGACCGGCGCCCCGCTGGCTGGGTTCGGCCGGCCGCAGCGCGGGGCACCGACCTCGCTTCTCCCTTCAGGCGCTGGCATCGCGCTGCTTTGGCTCGGGTCCGCCCCGCTTGGCGCTGTCCCAAGGGCGAGGCCGCCGCGGCTATTTTTGCGCCCTCACCTTCTGCCTGTCCCCCTTCCCTTCTGCAGAGGGTAGATCTGCCCCTCTGTCCCTTTACCTCCTGCTTTGCTTTTTATTTTTCTTTCTGCCTTGCTCTTTATTTATGGTTTGGGTTCTCCTAGGAGAAGACCCGAGCGCATTCCAGCGCGAGAAGCATCTGCTGCCCTGTAGTGCTCTCTGCCTCGTCCTTTGGCCTGGCTCCCAGGATCGCGGGTGGGCTGCAGGCGGGGCGCCTTCTCAGTGGACCCAGGAGTTCAGGGCACAGCTGCCAGTGTCAGTCTCGGGAGACCTCTGCCATCCTGGCCTGCACTTGTGCTCTGAGTCACAGGAGGGCGGATTCGGAGGGTTGGGTGCCCAGCCTAGGCCCTGCATGGTCCCCTTGGTTTTAGTGACCTGCTTGCCCATTGGTCACGTGACTGCACCGCTAGGGGGGGCGTGGGATGGGGTTGGGGTGGGGGTGGGGATCCTGCAGCATAGAGTCCTCTCCTTCTACAGAGGAAGAGGTGACTGGGTTCAAAGCCCTGACTTGTGGTTTCAGGCTTGGTGTTTTGTTTTGCATGACTTCCTCTTCACCTGACTGCCGCTCCGCCTCCCCTCTGGGGAAATGGGCCTCCCAAGGACAAGGCAGAATATAGTAGCTCCCAACTTGCTGGAGGGCACATACGCCCAGTGAGTGTGCCCCCAGGTCAAAGAATGAATTCTTAGGATTTTGAGGCTGAGTAGGAAGTATTTCCTGAGAAGCACAGCTCTGGCAGCCAGGAGGGGGCCTGGGTTGCCTTGGACCCCACTTGCCAGGGGAAGTTTTATAGAGCAAATCATGAGGTGGTTACAACACAGCATAAAACTGACCCACCAAAAGAATAGCCACTTAGGTCTTGCTGGTCCAGTGGGGCAACAGTGCATGTAGTAAGCGTGTGGGAAGAACAAGGACCTCTGTAGGAAAGGACGGATCAGGAGGACTTCGGGAGGACTTCGTCACCCACGTGGGGGACTGACACCTATCTAGGCTTTCTTGGACCAGATGGTACCTATATTATGGTGTATTGCTTGTCCTTTTTTTTTTTTTTTTTTTTGTCCCTTTGATACAGGGAGAAAAACTGGTCTCGGGTGGGTGACCTCCAAACTATATAGGGAACCTCCAAATGACTTAGGGAAAAAACGGTCTCTGGACCTGACCTTCATGAGTTCGTGTTCTCTAAAACCGAAGAATGAATTTTAGGAACAAACGGAGGTTATGAGCAGAATGTGTTTATTGAGAGAAAGAAAGCTCCTGTCCCGAGAGAGGGACAGGAGAGGGGGGCCCAAATGGGTAGATCCCCCCTGGGAAGTTGTCTCTTGCGGGGACTTTTATAGAGGAAAACCATGTGGTGAGGCGGGTCTAAGGTGGTGGAGACATGGGAACTCGCTTAGTTGGGCATCAGGTGGGACAAAACTATGGTCAACCAATGAGATTACAAGCACCATTGCTCAGGTAAAATTGATGAGATCCAGTATTAAATGGGAAAGTGAGTCACTGTAAGCAAGTGGGCATGAACAGGGACAGGGTCTCTTCCTGTTGGGGGTTGGGCTAGTGACTCATTTGGGCTCTTTCAAGTTGATTGATACTATTTAGGATATCAATCCCTAATGCCCATCCCTAGGGTAAGGAAGTATGTAGCTGTGCTTCCTCTTTTGTCTTGGTCTTCAGGTGTGACCCATGTGGGAGTGTCTGTCTCTTCCAAGTTGCAAAGTCACCTTGTCTTCCATCTTGTCTCCTTGAGGGCCTGACTCTGTTTAACCCCCTATAATATTTCTATCTAACTGGGCTGCCTACAACACCTTGGGGAGGGATGGAGGTCTGTCTGAGAGTCATTCCATCTGTACCTTGAGGCCTGGGCTTCACTGGATCCACCTCCAGCCACAGCATGATGCGTTCTCGTCCCCTGCACTGACTCCCCCCAAGGCCCAGCCCCAACTGCCCGCTTGTACTGTTTCTACCTAGCTTAGCTGTCTCTGACACCAGGAGTTGGCTCACAGCTTCTCCAGGCCTGGCCTGGACCATCTCTTGTTCTGCTTGGGTTGGGGTTGGGTCTGGGTGGCTGAGGGTGACACCCCAGGCAGCTTCACCTGAGTGGACTGCGGTCTGCTGGTGTATTCCGTACAGAGAAAGTGACGGTATAACTAAGTAAGCGACCGGGGATCCACCAGCTTCTGGGCTGTGGGTTGGTGGGCTCTGCAGGGTAAGGTGCTTCCTTTGACTCAGTGTTCTCGGATCATATTGAACATATATCTAGATATGTTGTACTGACACACATTTTGGGGAATCCTCTTAAGGATTTTCTACAGAATAGGAAAGTAATTTGAGGCATAGAGAACTTTGAATCAGGGAGCCTGGATGAGTGTGTGCCACGGGCCGTGCCACCAACAAGGTCTGTGGCCTTAGAAGCACTCATATGCAAAGCTGGGTATGGTGGTGCATGCCTGTAATCCCAGCACTCGGGAGGCTGAGGCAGGAAGATCTCTGTGTTTGAGGCCAGCTTGGGCTACAAAGTGAGCTCAAGGCCAGCCTCACCTGCACAGTGAGACCCTGTCTCAAAAAGAGAATAAACAAAACCAAGTACCCACACTTGGGCATGCACACTTGGGCACGCACACGCGCATGCGCACACACACACATACGCACATGGCATTTTCCATTCAGTGTCTTAGGAGTGGAGCTGAGGGCTCCACAGCTTCATTGTTCATGGAGCTCAGGTTAAGAGCCTGCCAGGGCTCTTCTGTTTGCCTTCTATTTTAAGGCATCCTGCAGTGAATCTCAGGAATTACCTTCCTTTCTCTGGCACACGAGTGGTAACCTGCTGGAGGCTGGAGGGGCTGGTTCCGGCTGCCTTTCAGTGCTGACTCGTCCCACAGCCTTGAATCCATCCAGCCTGAACGGCATCAGGTGTGAATGAGTGTTGTTGGAGGCCCGGGCTGCCAGGCAGGTACTTTCTAGATGCTGGGGGTAGATAGCGGTTGCCGGGGAAACAACCTGGATGCAGGTCAGGGCCTGAGTCCCACAGACTGCACTTTTTCACAGTCCCATGTCCTCCGTGCAGGTGGGAGCCCCCATTTCCACTTGAGACAGGGAGGTGGAACATTCATTCACTGGGAGTGCACAGGCAGGCTGGGTGTGCCTGGCCTATGGGGTGAGGTTCCTGACTCCAGCCTCAGCTCTGCTGTGTCTGATTCCTGGAACTGGGATGGACCTGTGTGTGCTGAGTGCAGAACTACCGGAAATGGGAAGTTCAGTTTCCAATTTAAGGTTTTGAGCTTCCTACTTACTGCCTTGTCACAGAGACACAACACCCATCACCCTCTGCTCGAAGGAGGGGAGGTGTATTTCGGATCACAGTTTACAGAGCTTTCAATCCATAGATGTCTGGCTCCAAGGCGGGCAGCATGGCGAGGAGAAGCAGCTCATGGTGCTGGTGTAGGTCCCCCAAATGATAGACATGGTCATAGCTCCCAACCCGCTAGATGCTGCATACACCGAGTGCGTGTTCTCCAAAACTGAAGGATGAGTTCTAACAAATGATGGAGGTGTTATGGTTCGTATTTGTCCCCCCAAAGCCTCATGCGGTCATTGAGGCGCGGTTCTAGTTTGTGATCAGGCTGGGATTATGGGTCTGAGTACTGCAGGGATTATAGGTCTGAGTGCTGCTGGGATTATGGGGGTGAGTGCTACATCTTGTCTGGGGCAAAGAACCTGAATGGATCTGACGTCTATCAGGACTTTATTGGGCCAGGTGGTGCCAGTCATGGTCTGTTGCCTGCCCTGGGGGAGGCCCATGGGCTTGGTTATTCTCTACTTTGAGACCTGGCCTTCAGGGTCTCTATCTCCAGCCACAGTTGTTCTGTATTCTCATCTTCTGCACTAACTTCCTCGAGGGCCTGCTCCAAATGCCTGCCTATATTTCTAGCTGTCTCTTATAGTGTGGCAGCAGGAAGTGAAGCAGTATCAGCGGAGGAGGAGGGAGACAACTGCTTCCGGGCACGCCCCCAGTGACCTTCTCCAGTCAGGCTTCGCTTCCCAACAGCACATGAGGCTGTGAGCCCACCAATGGACAAATCTGCTCTCCTGTAGCGGCGGAGTTTCACTCCCCCGTGATACAGTCACTCCGGGAAGCCCCATCTGTAAACACAGGAGGCTTTGGTGAGACGTCCAGGTATAAACCATAGCAGGGGTAATAACGTCAGCACTCCCCTGGTGCTTACTTGGTGCCGTACCCTTCTCGGGCTTTCTTTACTGTTACCAAGTCTTCTAACCCTTGCAGTAGGCAGCATCATGTTATAGATGCAGGAGGCCAACCTCTCACAGCTAGAGTAGAAGGAGCTAGAGCCCTCACTGGAAGTCACTCCCAACTGCCTGATCTGTTGGGTGCTGCAGCCTGTAATGTACAATCACGTGGCTACATAAAAATGGTATGCACTGTACAGTTTGTTTGGTCCAGGGTCTCACTACACAGCTCAGACTTGTAGTGATCCTCCTGTCTCAGCCTCCCAAATGTTGGGACCACAGGCGTGTGCCACCACACAGTTTCAGGCTGGCATCGTGAGCCCAGGGTCCTGGGGCCAGCGTGGAATGGGTGTCAGGGATTGAACTCGCAACCTTGTGGTTACCAGGCAGGTGCTTCGACCACTGAGCTATCTAGCTCCCTGGCCCTGTACAGTATATTTACACCCAAGAAAAGGTGGCTTCCAAGATGATTCTGAGGTATTTATCACCCGTGCTTTGTGTGCTGAATACTAAGCTGGAAATAAAAGGATTATTTTCTGAATTGTGGGGTAAAATAAGTTGCTCTTGGCAATGATGACTCAATGACTAAAATCTGAGTAATTGACTGTAATGAGTCTGTCTACTCCCATCGGCATCTTGTTTACCCCTTCTTAGAAGTGAAATTGTGTTATGAAATTATGACAACATTAGCAAAGAAGAGCCCAAAAGATAGCTCGTTTTCCACCTTAACAAGCAGCCTGTTTTCACTTCATTTTCCCAGCTGTGGGTTTTATTAAAGTTTAGTAATAATATTGTTATTACTCATCTTTGCATTGAGTACTTGTTCCATGTGGTACAGTCCATGCTGGTATGTCCTTTCTGACATAAAGTTACATAGTGAACTAAAACCACCTGTGTGTACTTTTAATGGTTTCCTTTGAAGGTCATTTGAAAAAAGGACAGAATATTCTGTGTAAGTATAGTGATGAACTCAAAGTAAAGGAGAGACATTCTCTTTTGCAACTCTGGAAGTCAGTTCTGTTGTTTTAAAGCTTCTTATACTTCTGAAAAGGAGGGGGATTATAGTGAGTAAATCTAACTTTTAATCATGTAAACTTATAGGAAAGAGTGAAAATATCTCAATGTTAAAACAAGTTGAATATGAGAAGGCATCAGAATCCTGAGCTGAGCAAACTCGGGACCCTTTCGCAGCAGGGCAGCGTTGTGTGCATACGTGGGCAGATTTCCAAACTGATCCAGCTTTAGTTTGTCAGCTTCAAATCAGAGCCGTGCTTCCAGCGTCATGGAGTTCTGAGGAGAATGAAATGAGGTGCTGTGCTTACGCTGCTTCTCACAGTGCCTGGCACGTAATAAATACTTAGTAAAGGGAGGCATGACTATGACTGTTTGTTTTAGTACTGTCTTCAGTGAAGAAACCTTCCCAAGATAATTAATAAGCAAGGGTGCTAGCAGATGAGTTTGGCTTCTCCCTGAAAAGCCACTGGAAACATTTGACAGCTGCTTCCTGTAAACGTCACTAATGCTTCTTGTGAGCTATGTTGCAAGATACATGGCTATTAAATAGCTGTGAAGAACCTTGGGGAATTCCTGTTTGGCCTGCAGCTATTGTTAAAGCCTCTTTCTGAGGGGTGAAGGTTATATGAAGAATTAGCTGAGACACTCATCTGCTGGCTCTTCAGTCTTTCTATAGCTTTGATGAACAGCGTGGTATTTTCACCTCATTGTTTCTGTAGGAGGAGTGAGCACAACTCCCCAGTTTGCATTTCCCGCGTGGAGACCACGCTGTTGGACACACGCGGCGCACGCCCTGACCTCCCAGCACCGCGGGCCTGTGCTTCAGGATGTGAATTCACCTTTATTACATAGTCTGTGTGCGGTAGTCACGCCAGCACCGAGCTCGTGGCTTCTGACCCACGTACGTCCTGTACTCACTCTGTTCTTTGCAGTTTTTAAAATTTTTTTTTTCTTTTTGAAAAATACAAAATAATGATAGAAGAACAACAGAAACAATGCAAAATGTCACTAAACACGGTAACGGGAATCCAGCGATGCTTGCTGTGTTATATGATACTATCTTCAAATTAGTTGTTCAGATTAGCAGATACAAATGTGTAAGATTCCTTTAAGGAAAACCAAAACAATAGCAAAGAAGTTATAAAAAATTCAGAAGAGGATGTTCTTTGCATTTTCATCTTTCAGGAGAGAAGGTTGTATTTAGCTCCACGGTACAAGCACATGCAAATTACCAAGGATTTCCTGCATTGAAAGGAAGAACACAGTCTCTAGTCTCACTATAAATGTCTCTCTGGGAATTCCAGAAGAGAAGTGTATTTATTGACTTTTTTTAGAATCAGAAGGACAGCTTTTTTGTTTTATTTATTTATTTATGTATTTATTTATTTATTTTGCAGTACAGGGGATTGAACTCAGGATCTTGTGCTTGCCAGGCAAGTGTTTATTCTACTGAGCTATCTCCCTGGCCCAGCTTTGTTTTAAAAATCTTTTTTTTTTCCTTTCTTTCCATTTATGCATTTGGAACAGGATCTCACGTGCAGCTCGGACTCCTAGTGCTCCTCCTGTGTCAGCCTCCCCAGTGCTGGGATTATAGCGTGCGCCACCACGCCCAGACTTAGTGGCCGGCTCAGCGTGCCCCGGGCTGGGGCCTGCGCCTATTGTGGGACCAGCTGGTCCCTATTCTTGCCGAAGCGGCGCTTAGTCTGCTAAGCTATCTCGCTGGTCCTTAAGAATCTTTGGTGAGCGCGTGTTCGCAGTCCATGGGGTCCCAGGCTCCGTGGCAGCGGCCGCACGCACG